CTACACGAAAAAATGGTGACGGCACGCTTTAAACTAAAGCTCATTAAACAAGCTTTAAAGTGCTCCGCCACCATTTTTCAGTGTGGGAAGGCTGTTGCATGTGACGCTGGAGTGTGGCAATTACGTCGGAGGAGCCTCCCTGTATGTGTATAAGAGCCTGTTGTTGCTCATCTGTGTATTCTGACATGATGTATTTTATTTGAGAGAAATGTAATCCTTTACTTAACATGTTTTCAGTAAACACCAATTCTTTCAGATTTAATTAAATGTCTTCTGTGATTCTAATTTAATCTTTTTTTTCTAGGCACAAGATATTGTAAACTAAAAGCGTGAATATGGGTGAAAAGAAACCGGAGCCCCTAGACTTTGTAAAAGATTTTCAGGAGTACCTTACTCAACAGACACACCATGTAAATATGATTTCTGGATCAGTTAGTGGTGATAAGGAAGCAGAGACTCTTCAGGGAGGTAGGCCAAGTTCAGTCCTATCAGACTTTAGTTTTAAGGAACAGTCAGGCTGATGTTTACATTCTGATGCATACTGTCATAACAATCTATGTAAAACGTAAAGTTTTTGGTGCACGTTTTTCCAAAAATGTGTATTTCATATACTTCATAGATTTCATAGACATTCGGCCTGGAAGGGACCCCGGAGGATCATCGAGTCCTGCCCCCTGCCCCAGAGGCAGGAAGTCAGCAGGGATCATAGAATCCCAGCAAGATAAGCATCCAAATGTGTCTTAAAGGCATTCAAAGTGGGTGCTTGAACCGCCTCTGGTGGAAGTCTATTCCAAACCTTGGGGGCTCAGATGGTAAAGAAGTTCTTCCTTATGTCCAGCCTGAATCGGTCGTGGCGGAGATCGTGGCTGTTTGATCTTGTCATCCCTTGGGGCGCTCTGGTGAACAGACGTTCCCCCAGATCCTGATGAGCAGTAGTGTAGTTCATGATAAAATAAGAAATTTCTTATCAATTTAGTTTTGCTTGGGAACCAGTGGAATAGAGGAGCTAAAAAATCCAAACATCTCTGTAATAACTGACAACACTGTAATAACAGTTATCATCTCTGTGAATCTATTGCATTATTCACAGCTGGGACGGATGGTGATCAGAATGGATTAGATCATCCTTCTGTTGAAGTTTCCTTGGATGAAAACTCAGGAATGCTAGTGGATGGGTTTGAAAGGACATTTGATGGAAAGCTGAAGTGTCGATACTGCAACTATGCTAGCAAAGGAACAGCACGGCTGATAGAGCATATCAGAATTCACACAGGTATGAATGATTCTACAGTACTTTGCTGTGGGGCAACGTATATACTGTCTTCTGTATGGGGGAATAACAGATTTTGGAGTTACGTATATACCTTCAAACTAATAATTTTTACTTCTTTTTTTTTTAATACACTGGAAGAGATGGAACCTATTTTTTGAAAGACTTTCTCTCAAGATATATGTATTATTATTAGAATATTATATAACTCCCAATCCTGTAAACATCTGTGCATGTGTTCAAGTTTACTATTGTGAGCAGTCATGTTGAACTGATTGCAACAACTCATTGTAGTAAAGCTTAGCCCACTTGTGAATGTTGGAGAATTTAGGACTTTACAGAATAACTTATTTTGACTTTTAGTTACAAACTTCATTACTGACGATACTTACACTGGTACAAATTTTATAATAACTGGAGAAACACTTAAAATCAACAACAAATAGCAAGAAGCTGTTTTTTTCACGCAAGTTGTAAAAATACTGTCAATTTGAATGACATAAGTATGAAAAGATGCATGATACATACATCTGAACATATTAAATATTAATAACATTTCTCTTATTGTTAGTATGCTCCAGCTGCTTGAGCCTCTGTCAATAAACTGAGCAATAATTAAAGAGTAACCATACTATAAGAGAACTTAGTGGTATACTCAATAATAGCACATATACTGTTACTGCTATTTATTAGTTTGGTCATAAAAACCCCACAATATATATTGGCAAACTTATGCAGAAATTCCATAAATAAATCGCTAAGATATTTTTAAAATGTTCTTGTAGCTGAATAATAGAGGAATAGATCTACTTAAAAACTGATTACTAGAAAAAAAAACTAGAACAGCACTGTGGATAAAATGGTGAAAATCTTTCTGGACAGTAAGATAAGTTACTAAAATTAAAAAGTGACATTTTGTAAAAGACCCAAATTATAAAGCTTACTCCTTAGGCAGGTTCTTCCATTTATGATGGTATTTCTCTTAACTGTGCAAGTCTAAAGCCACTGAACTATTTCTTGTAGCCTGTGTTCTAGGACTCAGGGCTTGTTTATACAAAGGGGTTTAATTTGAAGTGAGATGCTTTGTTTTAATTGCTTTACTATGGCCAAATGGTTCAATTGAACACATTTGTACTGCTGGCTTTTACTTAGCTATGAGTCATTGTTTCCACAGTGGGGATGACTTCCTTTGTAATATATGCTCAACATTGTGACTGAGTATCTCACTCTTCTTTATGTCACTTTATCTTTGTAGCACGTAAAATACGAGGTGTATATTGTAGCATGCGTATCTGCAACTTTCAATAAAGGCATATGGTATGAGACTTACTTTTTCCTTTTGTAGTACTGCTGGCAGCCGGTATTCAGAAAGCTGGCTGGAAAGGGGGTGTGTGTGCTGGGTAACTAGATCCCTATCTGTAGTTCTTTGGTCAGGCTTCTTTGTATCCAAAAATTTCTTGGCTATCAGGAAAATCTTTGTAAAGGAGCCATTAGTTCTGCAGTACTCCGTACTCCTTAGTATAAGGACCACATCCATAACAAAGTGCAAGGTGACACTGGTAATTTCCTGTATCACATGGTATTCCAAAATTGTGCCAACATTCTGTTCAGTTTGTCACAGTATAGGTGGAAGGCTCACCTGCAGCTACAACTCCCTTTCTCTGTATCCTAGTTATAAACTTCTTCAGCCATTACCTTTGTGACTCCCTAAAATGTGTATTTCTATACCTGGTCCCTGGGGTTTCCTGTACCTTCACATCTCCCCAGAGGGCAATGTAATCAAAGACCTTGGTATAGCCCCAGCTGGGAACACAACATAGAGGCATGACACAGGACTAATAGTACATGGACTGCCACTTGAGTAGGCAAATTCCTGGAGCGTATAAGCATCAATGGACTGAACCTGGCTCTGTCAGTATGTAAACAGCAAAGTCCTGCTGACCTTGAAACAAATGGACACGTAAGTAAATAGAGTAACTGGTAGGGACAGCACACAAAGCAGGGTGGAAGGCTACTTGGGGACCACTAAAGTAGTTTACAGTGTAGATGTAACCAAATGTAACTTACGGAGTAAAATTATTGTCAACTATCAGAAGTAAAAAAATTGTCTTCACTAGAACGCCATCTCTTTACATCAGTGCAACCCAGCCTTTGAAGTAAATCAACCAAGTAGACAGGCCAGGAGTGTCTCTTCTATGGGCAGTTTCTGTTTCTTGTCTCTATATGTTATTATCTCTTTTTTTAGGTGAAAAGCCACACAGATGCCATTTATGCCCATTTGCATCAGCTTATGAACGTCATCTGGAAGCTCATATGAGATCACATACTGGTGAAAAACCGTACAAGTGTGAATTGTGTTCCTTCCGCTGCAGTGACAGAAGTAACTTGTCTCATCATCGCAGACGCAAACACAAAATGGTACCTATTAAAGGTACCCGGTCTTCCCTAAGCAGCAAGAAAATGTGGGGAGTTTTGCAGAAGAAGACCAGCAATCTGGGGTACAGCAGAAGAGCATTAATTAATTTGAGTCCACCTTCTATGGTGGTTCAAAAACCAGACTACCTTAATGATTTCACCCATGAAATCCCAAATATTCAAACTGAAGCATATGAGAGCATGACAAAAACAACACAAACCAGTGCGCTGCCAAGAGATCCACAAGACCTTATGGTAGATAATCCTTTGAATCAGCTATCTACATTGGCAGGACAGTTGTCTAGCTTGCCACCTGAAAACCAAAACCCAGCATCTCCTGATGATGTACCATGTCAAGATGAAAAGCCTTTTATGATACAGCAGCCTACTGCACCAGCAGTAGTTTCAACTGTAGCAACAAATATTCCTCAAAGTTCATCTCCTACCAGCCCGGATCCTCGGCCTACACACAATCAGAGGAACTATAGTCCTGTGGCAGGTCCAAGCAGTGATCGTAGTGCCCATACTAGTACTCCTAGCATAAGTAACAGTCAGCCAAGTACTCCAGCTCCAACCCTTCCAGTTCAGGACCCTCAGCTTCTGCATCACTGCCAGCACTGTGATATGTATTTTGCAGACAATATCCTTTATACTATTCACATGGGATGTCATGGTTTTGAAAATCCTTTTCAATGCAACATATGTGGGTGCAAATGTAAAAATAAGTATGACTTTGCCTGCCATTTTGCAAGAGGCCAACATAACCAACACTGACTGAAAAGCATACATTCATTTAGTTTTTTAACATAATATGGTATATTTTTTCATACTTCCTGAAGGAGACTTTTCTCATCTCCCAATAAGAAGTCTAACATTAAGAAGTTTGACAAAGGAGACACACTTCTATCCACGCTGTTGTAAGACTTGCCAGGGAAGTTTGCGAGAGTCATGGTGGTAACAGCTTTTATGTGGCTTTTTTCTTTTTTTTTCCAATAGAAAGATAAGGGATTGTAATGCAATTACATATTTTGTTTGTTATATTTAAGTTCCTTGTGCTTAAGATTCAGGTGAATAGTCTACAGTTGATCCAAACTGTGTGCCCTTAAACATGAGTTGTAATTCACCAGACACAATACAAGATAAGAGATCTTGATACCTAAAATATGGCAAATGTTAATTTAATAAAATGTATGTTTAGTATGAAAAATGTATTCATGCTTACTAGCTACCTACCAAACTGGGTGGGGGAGAACTTTCACACACAAACAGTTTGAAATAAAACTATTAGTTTCATCTGATTTGTAGTTAATCATAAATTTGTTTAGTGAATTCTAAAATCTTTCTGCTAGACTTAACACTGCTCTAGTTTTCCCTCTAAAAATGGATCACAAAAACTAGAAGATATCAAATATATACATGTTACTGTAAATGACACTTCCATACGAAAGACTGTGAAGACATTCCTGTTCGAAGTTTATTAAATAAAAATCACAAATGAGTGCCATTACAGTTTAAAAAAAAAGCCAGTTTCTAAAATAAGAAAGCCCTCATTTAAAAGTACTCTATGATATCTTTAAATGTCTTACAAAACTAAATTTGTATGCTTACTTACATTTTGCACATTTAGACTTAGTCTTTTCCTTACTCCCATGATAAAAGTTAAGAGAAAATTAAGTTACAGATTGAAAATTTTCTTCCAGTTTTATCCTGGTTCAAACTATGAATGGTAGATTGTGTGTATGTTAGGGAGTTATGCATTCTAATTTATGTAAACTGCAGCTAACATAATTTTGTTTGCCTGATGACCTGTGTGGATTTACTGATCTACCAGCATGCTAGAAAGGTTTCTTTGTTAATGACTGGGAGGAAGGCAGGCAAAGGAATATTAGGTTGGTTACATGTGGAGTTGTTGTGGCTAATATTGTGACTGCAGATTCTATCTGAAGATGTATGTGCGGTCCCTTTGTATGTGTTAACTTTATTTTTGATACTGTACATCTTAATCGTTTTTAAAAGCACCTAGGTTAACATTTAGGCACTTTAATATTAATCTAAATGAAACATCCTAGCAAAATTAGGGAGACTGCTAGGTAAGTAACAGGCATTAGTAATGTTCCAGAAAAGTAAAAACTTACTTTGACATGCACTTTTACCTTATTCTGTCTTATTTGCTGCAAGACAAATGGAAAGCTTTCTTTATATTACCCTTTACTATAAGAAATAAGCAGGCACATACAAGACATCAATTAATGTGTGTTGTGGACAGTAAGAACAGGACTTAAATATTTTGAAGTCCAGAGTGGACATGCAAGTGTCACCTATTGGAGTTCATACATCAGTTGTTCTGGGGCATGATGAAAAGGCTATTGAATAAATGTAAAAACTGTCAGACTTCAGCGAGCTTTGGATCAGGCTCCTCGAAAGTATGCTCCTCTAAAACATTTTTGGTATTAGGAAGTCCCCTTTCTTTACTTCTTTATCTAATGAGAAATTTGATACTTACTGGTTGTACCCATCAAGTGCCAGGTGACTTTAATGCGCATGTGGCCCTCAAATTAATCCCACATAGGATTTTTCATCCTTAAGACTATCCAGTGAAGAGAGATCACTTGTGTCGGTACAAAATTCTCTGATCCTAATGAGTTTAGTAACACGTAAGAGCAGATATTATACATGGAAAACACTTTCTGGCCCTGTAAATCACCTTTTTGTCTCTCTAATTTGTAAAATTACCTAAAAAATTAAATGTCCTGGCCAGGTCAGGATCCATTGACTTCAGTGGGCTTTGAATAAGGCTGTTTATAATACTTTGCACAACCAACTCAAGAATGTATTCAGAAATAAATATATTGGGTAGTCTAAATTCAAATACAATAAAAACATCTTTAGTTGCCTTTTTAAAGAATTTACAAGTCTTCATCTATGCCATAGCTGTGCATAAACTCAGACCTAAGAAATCTGGTATCATACACTCAAATATCTGCTTTCATTTTAAGGATTACGATTGTTCACTGAACTGTAATCAATCTGATTGGAAACCCTTGATTTTATGCATATTCTGTAATCTCATATTCTTATACAAAGAACAATGCGGAAAAATATTTTGGGTGGGTTATATTATTGACCAAAATCTACATACCTAAAATGAAATCACACATTTCTTTCCCCTAATATTTAAAAATATGTAGCTTTTCCTTTGGGGCCAGGAAACATGCCATAATAGTTTTTCTTCAGGATTTAACAACTTTGTAAAAGCTATTCTATTTGTCCAAGTTTAACCAGCTGTTTTTAACTGAAATTGAATAGTAACATCTGTCATCATGCAAAGTTGTGGAAGTTATAAAACACAGTTTCTTACATATCTGAAATACATTAACATTTGGTGTGTTAAACAATGGTGTGTTAAACAATTTGGTGGACCAATGTTCCTCCCTCTTGAAGTCAATGGCAAAACTACCATTTGCAATTTTAGCATAGAAATTTTTTATCCTTCCCCTCATCATTTTGATCCTTTAGGCTAAGAACTTTCATTGGTAATCTGACTCCTGTAATCATTCAGTACTTGAATCTGTATTTGTAGAGAGAACATGCCTTGGGAAATTACAGGCTAAAGACCAGTCTGGATATGTAGAGGTAGGTGGAAATTTGAGGACACATCAAGGTAGCAAAAACATGCATAGTCCATCTCCACTGGACAGCTGTGAGAGCGTCCACATGTCTACGAACAAGAGTGTTATTAGATTGGAGAAGTAGTACTCAGTATTTAAAAATCCCTAATTAATCCTGCTGTTGGTACTGGTTAATACTGAGATACTGTTTACTCTTCAGGAAAATATCCAAGGACATTTAAAAGAGAATTTAAGCTTTAACTCTTCATGCTAAACAATTATAGCCAGATCCTTTTTCTTCTCATGCAATGGGACTACTCATGAGAGAGAGGATAGGATTTGGTATTTAAGCCCCTATCCTCTCAGTGTGTCTGTGGGGTGGATCCCCCAGTGACTGCATCTAGCACTACTGAAGCCAGTTTCAGATTGGGGCCTTAACAACTTCTTTTTTTTAAACAAACACAACATATTACTATGTATTTTGTTGTGCCAAACCATAACTTGATTACCCTTATTTCCTTCTGACTACTGAGTATGTTTGGAAGGTGCATTTTTAGTTTATTAAAAAGGTAGCTTTTCATAATTTTGTACTAAAAGTGTATATTCTAGTATTTACTATAATTTAAAATAAAGAGCACAATTAGTATTGCAAAGTTCTTTGAGGATGTGATCCTGTAAACCTTTACTTTCACAAGTAGGCCTTATTTTTGCCAAGTTGATGGGGAATGCTTGTCAGTAAAGATCTGTAGGATCAGAACTAGTTTACTAGACCTATTTTATATTGAGTTGAATGTGCTTTACTGCACTAACTTTTTAAAAACAAATCCTTATAGCATATTATGAGGAACTGATTAGTTTTTAACTTGTATTAATTAACAAGGAAGTTTCAGGATGAGTTGATACTTTTTCCACAGCTTGACTGTGTTAAGTTCTGTATTTGGAAAATGTTAGTTGTTGTGTTCCTTTGTTTTTATTGTTATGAAATATTTTATAGATATTTTGGATAATTTTTTAACATGCACTATTTATAGTACTCTTAACAGATATTGTAACATTCTGAGACTGAGGACTCTTTTTGTTCAGTGAACATTCAAATATTAGATTGAAAATGCTGGTAGGAGAAAAATGATCTCGTTAATATTTAAACTAAGGAACTGTGAAGCAAGTAAGTAATAAGGAATAATATTTGATTATTGCAAATGCCATGTGTAGCTTCAAATGAATTTGGCCTAAGACACCAATTTGTGTTTTAACACATACAGTTCGCAGTGCTGGAAGAGAGACATGTTTCAGTGTCGTTGCATAGCAGAATTTGAACAGTTCTTATGGCTTTTGTTATTGAATTTTACTTTTTTTTGACAAAGGGAATGTAACAAATCTTCACTGGCAAGTTTCCCATCAGTTTAAGTTTCTGTGAAAAATGGATATTCTGTGCAGGAAAAATCTATTCCCTGCTGAAGCATTTTTCATTGAGCAATCTTTGTATATGTGCTTCTAGTACCTGCTTTGTTAATAATGTGTACTTCAATGTAAAAAGCATATTTTATATGCAGAAGATGAAACGAGTTACAGTTGTAAAATACATTTTATCGTGTAGTGATTTGGTTTTCAGCAAACAAAATAATTCTGAAATAACTAGCGTAGTTCATGTTGTGAAGCTTTGCTTTTGTAAGATATGAATAAAATAACACTTTCTAATTATGTTTAACTTAATTCTTTTAAAGTGCCTGAACTTGCGAACTGCAATACCACCAGCCTCAGTCGGGTCTGCTTCAAAGTTTGTTTGCACCGTTCAGTTCGTGTGGTTACAGAACCATTGAACTTAAGACACCTATCAGCACCAGTGGACTGGCTCAAACACTGGAGTGACTGAAGTAACTGCACTGTAACTAGTGGAACCATTTTTGTAATATTAATAGAAAAATAGGGCTAGAAATGACATTGTTAGTTCAACCACCTCCTAAAATCAGAATTATTCCCAATTAAATTATCCCAGATCAATGTCTTATCTGCACTTAAAAAAATCTCCAACTGTGGAGATTTCATAACTCTTCAGGGGTATCCAAACCTTTCAAATATAAATTAACTTGCCCAAATAAAAAACAACATTTGATAAATTAGATTCAAGACAGCCTTACAACTGCAGTTGTAGCAAAAAGGTTAGAACAGGGACATGATAGCCAATATATATTTCCAGTATTCACCTTATCTATTAAATCATTCAAGACACCTTGATATCAGAACTATATTGGCAAACTGGTGTAAATTCAGAGCAAATTACATGATTAAGGAGTACTGACTTGAAATTTAATAGAACACAGTAATGCAGTTAAGATGTATGCAGGGGCGACGCATAGGTGGTGCATGCGGGTGCATATGCACCCCCTACAAAAAGGCCGCCGACACTGTCGGTACCTGCAGGCAGTTGCTGCTCACCACCCTGCTGTGGACACCACCACCGGGATCGCGGGCGGTCTGCGATCCCCTCTGGCCGCCGCTGCCAGCAGCCTCTGCAGGTGGTCACCGATCCTTGGTTGGCGCTTACCATCCCCTCCACTCCCCACCACCAACAGCGCCAGCGGCGTCTGTGGAAGCTCCCCTGCTTACAGCTGCCTTACTCCCACCGCCACCATGCCCCCCCAGCTGCCAGGGGCACACGTCCTTCATGGATGTATGTTCCTAACTAGAATGAGGGGAGAAGCAACAATATAAACACATACTGCACTTTGTTACTGTATTTTCTTGCATAAAACAAGGCCTGGAATATAACACACCTCTTGTTTTCAAGAAGGCAGAATGAAGAAGTAAAAGATTTTTCCACAGTTATGGTTCCACAGACTGAGGACAGAGCTGATTCACCCTCCTTTTCCTGCTTACCTGGGACAAAAACCCTAAAACTGAAATAGTGATCTCCAAGGGCGAATCTGTGATTTTGAAAAGAGCTAAAGAGTTTCCAGACCTGTGAAGTAGGACGGGAGAGACCAGGAGGCACTGGCAGATCACAAAATTTCTTAGGGCAATTTTGCTGAAGATCAAAATCATAAAAAAGGAAGATGTTTGTTAATACCTGTGGAGTGAACAACACTGGCCAATTAAATTGACTGACTCCCTCATCTGCCTATGCGGTGGAGCAGGAATCAAAGCAGGGTGCTTTTATTTCAGGCAGAAAAATCAGCATCCCTGCTCAAAACATGCACCCCAGTTCAGGGAAGGAGCTGATTTGGGGAAAAAAGGTGTAGAGTCTTGCAAGGAAATATGGTATTCTTAAACTGCACCTATAGAAAGCCTCAAAGGAACGGGCTGAATTGCTATTGTGAGGTAATTAGAAATCTCTACATAATACCAGAAAATGAAAGTAGGGTCAGAGAGGCCCGAGTAGGCTTTTTCAACAAAAAACATTTTAGCAACACAACAGCTATTATACCAGGATTGGCAGCAGCAGGAGGGAAGAAGCATCTTGAATGTCTGTTAAAGAACCTTACCCAGTGATTCAAATAGTAGGAAAGTCCAGAGGGACCTATGCCCAACCTGCTCAAGCAAGTTTCAGCTCAAAGCTAGTACTACTTGGAGGAGGGGGATGATATGACTAAAAAACAAACAGAGAAATGTGAACTAGTTTCTACTTCACCTGCAAAGAAGAGGTGATACCCTTCCCACTTCTATGGTAAATGATTGCTTAAAGAGCTAACAAAGAATTACATAAATTCAGTGCAACTCAAAAGATGAATGATCTAGCAAAGATGAAAGTACCCCAAGGCAGATACATAACTAGTTGGCTCACTGTATTCAATGGGCACTTCTACATGAGACACTACTGTGCTGTCATTACTGTGCATTCATATAGTACTCATGCTGCACAGTAGCATCAGCAAATGTCTTTTAGGTGATGCTACTGCGCAGTAGCCTAATACTACACAGTAGCGTATTAGCATTGTCTGTGCTGTGACATACCACTGCATGGTATTTTCTGTCTACTGCACAGTCAGTCACTCTAGTAGATGCACCCAATAAGTAATCCTTAATGGATCAATGCCTAGTTGGGAGGAGGTATCAAGTAGGGCTCACCAGTATTGTTTAATATCTTAATTATTTGGATAATGGAAATGAGTGCATGCTTAGCAAATTTGTGGAGAACACCAAGTTGATAATTGCATGCAGTGAATGCAATTAGTCAGATGTCCTGAGTAATTCACTTATATCAAATTATAAAGCCTTGTTAAAAGCAAGGAATGTCATATTTACACTAAGATTTTGTTGATGAACTAGTCAGAAAACACACAAGTTGGTGCTGTTAATAGGACTGTAATTTAACTTATTTAGATTATGAATGTTTAACAAGCTATATCATAGGCAAAATTATGAATTGTGCTTTTTGTTAGAGTTTGCATTACCCAATTCTCTTTGAAATTTAATGTTTAAATATTTTTTGTTTTCCTTTTTCTGAGAACCTGGTTCTTAGATTTACACAACTGCGGGCACATTTACACGAGACACTAAATGGATAGTAGACTAATTCTACTACACACTGGTGTGTCACAGCAAAAGCTGTGCTATAGTGCTAATACACAGTAAAACTAGTCTAGTGCACGTTACCGTCACTTAAGTCGGCACTACTAAGCTGTAGCGCTGGTTACTGTGTATTTAGTTAGTACCTGTTATTAATGCGTAGTAACTACGGCACATTAATACACGTGTAGACATGCCCTGTGTGTCCAAATCAATTTCAGATGTCACTGCACTTGAGTTACACATACTGCAGCAATTCTAGCTTTATGACATTGTATGTCTTTTTGATAAAAAAAAATAAAAACCAAGTAAGGTCTTACTCTGCATATTATTTTGCCAAATTCCTTTTGAAGTATCTTAAAATGTTACATTTAAAAGAATTACTAGGTTATTCCTAATATCTAGGCATGTTCGATGGTTTAGGATTGAAGTATTTAAAACATATGCATGAAAATCATTGTTATTAAAAGCAGACATGGTATGCATTTTTCTTCTTACACAGTTAAAAGCAACTGAATGGATTTCTCATTCTTTGAAAAGATTATACACTCTAACTAAGCATGGAAAGCTTCAGCAGCAAAGTAAATAAGGAAGTTGCAAAAAGAAAATGGGACCTAATGAAAGCCTGTATCCAGCATCAAAAATGATGTTTATGATACTTCCCGACATAAAGCAATAACTGCCTAAATTATACCACCCTTTCCTAGTTAAGTCTAAATGATTTTATTCAGACAAATGATCTAGAAAGGTGTACTCCGGAGCTTATATTGTTCAGCCAGTTTATATTAGAACTGAGAATCTCATTAGAACTGAGAATCTAAATTTATGGTGGGGAGAGCAAAGAAGGTAAAGTAGACCTAATATGCCACTTTGTAGGTATTTGGATTTTATACTTGCTTACATACTAGCACTATACCTTGTAGGATGGAAATCCTTTTAAAATGAGGTACCTGAATAGCATCATGCATGGACTACTTATAGATGATACCCATAGTGTCTGTATTCAGAGAAAAGACAAATCTCAGCCCCCCAAAAGTTATAACTGAAGTATAAGACAAAAGGCAACATATGTGGACAACACAGAGAATCTGGAGCAGGGATTCCTACACTTACAATCCCAAAACCACATCCACGCAAATCGAGAGCCTGCTCTTACCTTCTGCAATGCCAAACTGCATGACAGTGGCAACAGAATCCCCCTTGTCGTCACCTACAGCCCCCAGGTTGAACACCTTGGACACATCGTTAATGACCTCCATCCCCTTATGGAAAGTGACCATCTCAAGGCAGCCTTATAAAACAAACCTGTCCTGGTTTACTGGCAGCTCCCCCAGCCCCACATCTGAAATAACATCTTCCCAGTAACAGACTACCTCGCTCCTATTTTTCACAAAGCAACTAGGCCTTGCATTATACCTAGGCATCAGCTGGGCCCCCTCATCAACACAGACCAAACCATTATATGGTCATATATGCCACTGCCTGCTTACAGCATCCCTCAGCTATCTAAGCTGGACAGATGAAGCTGTGCAGGCTGGGAGCGATCCAGGCCCTTTTCTGTGCTGCACGCAGGCTGTGGCCAGCAGCCCGGGCACGCTGGATCGGAGAGGGTGGGCGACAAGCTGGAATTAGGCACAGACGCTTAACGGTAGATTTAAAGATGGTTTACTTACACCAGAGATGGTAGTGGTGTAGGCTGGAAAACTTGCTTGAGTTGCGGTTACAGACACAGACAAC